CTCTCTCTCTCTCTCTCTCTCTCTCTCTCTCTCTCTCTCTCTCTCTCTCTCTGTGTCTCTGTGTGTCTGTGTGTGTCTGTGTGTCTGTGTGAAAACGGGAGGCAGGAGCTGGGAACCACATCCTGTGGCTCCCTCACCTCACCCTCTGTTGCTCCACATTGAGTCTACTTTTTGCTTACTGTGTCTGAAGTGCACGCAAACTCCCTCCCAAATTCACTATGATCATGCCTCCTAGCTGCAGCTGCAGCAGAGTGCTAAACGTATAGCATGCACTCCTAGCTGCCATGAACCAGCTGTGAGACTGTTTCTCACATCTGGGCTCTTCCATCCCTGGGTCTGTATCTAATAACTCTGATGGTATATCTAAGATGCAGATGTTAGCAGAAGTAGAGAAAGGTGAGCCCAAGACTCACAGGCTGAAGGGGCATCTGTTTCGACATCACATGGCCGGTTTCTCCCAGAGAAAATGGGCTTTTCTTAGAACACCATTGAGCTACACACTCAGCACCTTAGAAAATGGTGTTCTTGGTTCTTAGACAATTAGCCAGGCGTGTTCTTCCGTAAAATGATCTTCAGGGAGAAATGTTGTCCAAATAAAATAACTAAAATAGAGCCATCAGAGAACTCCTAGGAAAAGTGACATAACTTATCAGGATACAGAAAGAAGTAAGATAGGGGTGGGTTTAAGATCCACTTGGAGTCTCAGCAAGAAAACCTACTAGTACACAGTAACGACTGGGCAACAGCAGAGATAAAAACGCTGATGGTGGTGTCCTTGGCGCTGCACCGCATCGTCCTGATATCCTCACAGTGAGCAGCACAGACTTGAGGACACAGACATGGTATCTCCTCAAGCTGTAGTTCTCCATGGCCAACCACAAGTGACTCGGGTGACAAAGGTGGGATGAGAGATGCTGTGCTCCTAGGAAGCCAGAGTCTTCCCTGGCTGTGGCCAGGCCTTTTCTCCCTAGTCACTTGGGAGCACCCCTAAAGGCCAGATGCCTGACAACCTAGCATGTGACTTTCTGTGTGGAAGGGGGCACTCCTAAACTGTGCTCCGGGGTTTGGGTACAGGCTCCCTGGGCACATGCATCACAGTGGGACCCCAAGGCACAGTAATAAGTGGCGCTGTCTTCAAGTCTCACTGCAGAGATCACCAGATGGAAGGTGCTGTGGGCCTTGCTGTGCTTCACAGAAAATCGACCTTGAACAAAATCTGCGTCATGGGACCTAGTGTCATCCCTATAAAGGATGAACTGGAAGGACCTGTCCGGCCTTTTTCGATACCAAAATAAATCTGGGTTTGGAGAATTCCCACTGTAAGTGCAGAGCAATGTTACTTCGCTGCCACTTGCCACTGTCTGGTCAGGGGAGCTCTGGGTCAACGTGATGCATAGCACATCCTTGTCTGTGAAGAGGAAATGAGACAATAGTAGCGTCAGCATCCCAGATGCTCAGAGACTGCATCCCAGACTCTGAGCTCAGAGGAACTCAACAGAGGGTCTGAATGAAAGTCACAGGTAGAGAATGACTGAAACCTAAGCATATAAAAAAAGAGAGCAAGCTTCAGAAGGTCTGAGAGAGGGAAGCAGGGTGCAAAGTGAGAGAAATCACCCTCTTACAGGCAAACAAAAGGCTAATGGTCACGGCAAGAATCATCCTTTCAGTCGGTGCAGGGACACAGCATGGAGGAGGGTTGCTGGTCTCTCTAACCGTCCTAAGGCTTTGTATAGGAAGGAGATAGAAGGAAAAGGAGGGGAGGCAGGCAGCCCCTCACATGACTGTCATGTGACTGGATTAACTGAAACTGTGGGGTAAATACCTCTACCAAGGAACTGCTGTGGTTTACAGAAATGTTGGTCTTCAAACCACCTAGAACTGATACTTCTAGCAATGAAAATGAATTACTTTTTAAAAATAAAAAGTAAAGGTGGGGCGGGGTAGAGGGAAGGACAGAGGGAGGCTGGGAAAGAGGGATTAGGGAAGGAAACTGTGATTCCCCACAATGGCATGCTTTGGATATCTAATGTATAAAGTAACTTACCCTCCGTGCTTATATTCTCTGATCATAGACAGGAATCAGTTTATGAATTACACTTCCAGTAGCCCTGTCTCAGAGCACCTGACATTTGTATATTCACTTTGTAGAACTCAATAAATGGAATGAATGAATGAATGAATGAATGGTATACAATATGGAAAATAAATTAACAAGTCCTTCTGTATAAGGATGGAGAGACGGTCAGATAAGACCCTAGAAGTTTTTGCTTTCGAAGCGTGAGATGGTGCTTGCTGATTCTGGCAGCGTGCATTGCATTGCATTACAGGGTTTCCTGGCCCTTAGAACTGTCTACAGCCTACCCTTGGCTATAGCTGTAAAGTTCCTGCCCCAAAGAGAGCTTGCTGGTAGGTAAAGTGCAATGAGTGAGCCCCAAACTTGCTGGGGTACTGTTACGAGAAGCTTCATGAGCCTGGGTGGCTGGAGCCCCTGAGCCATCTCCTCCCACTCACATGCCCCAACAATATGGTTCTCTACATAAGCCATGACCCTGTATTTAGGAAGCGCTGCTCTGGAATCAGAAACACTAACTCACTACCGTCCCCACCAGTGTCTGCGAAGGTTTCTTTTCTCCCTTTTCCCCACACCTGAGTCATCAGTAAGACCTCTGCTTCTCCCATCCCAGCTGCCCCCTCATGCAAACATTGCCATCCCTTACAGGGACCCCACTGCAGTTAGTCCTAACTGGTCCCTTTGCTTCTGCCTTTGTTCGTGACCATCCATTCTCCAGGTCTTTGGAATACTAACTTCTCCTCTTTGTCTGGGTCTCTAAGACCTGGCAAAGCTCTGACTCCTGCTTCTTACCCAGCCTTAGGAACATTGCTTGTTCTCTCAGTCTGCCTGGACTGTAAAAGCCTCTCTTGTAGTCCTCCACCTGCCTAGCTGTTTTCTAGCTATCTAAAACTCTGACCTCGTTCTTCATCAACCTCAGCTCGGCTCAGTGTCCCTGGCCACTCCGATTAGTTACTTACTCATTACCACCCTTGATTACATCTCTGCTGAAAATTTCCCTCAGCTTGATACCAGATTTGTAAGAAAAATAAATAAATAAATAAATAAATAAATTTTACTTCTTTTCTCCATCTCAACACATATGCATGCGCGCACACACACACACACACACACAATGCATACACACACGTACACAAGCTCCACAAATCAATGATAACATTCATCTTTTCACTGATCTTGATGTATCCCAACCCCTGGTTTGTCTTTCAATAGATAGAAGTGCAGCAAAAGAGCACTACCTCACTGAAGAGGTCACCGGGACTCAGTGGGTGGGCGCCTGCATAGCATACATGAGGCCCTGGGCTCCACTTCCAGGGGAAAAGGGGGGAGGGGAGAGAGAAAGAGACGGGAGAGTAACAAATAAAAATGCAAAAGAGCAGTCAATGGTTACCTCAAATGAGTGGTAGCTAAAGTTTTACTGTGTCTGGAACATCCCATATTTGAGGCATCACTATACTT